TCTGATATGAAACACTCTATTTGTGAAATGTTTTTATTTCTGTTTGCTGAAGCATTATTTAAGTTTATTAGTCCTAATTTTAGAAAAAAGTATCATGATTATGTTTGGTTTACTCAGGGTATTTTTCTGTTATAATCAGTAAAAGGAAATCTTAGAGACAGCAAGTTTTGTGAGTTCAAAAATAAAAATAGGTGAAATGAACCCCAAGATAAGGACTCAAATGTTTTTTCTTTCTTGCTATCATTTCTAACATATTTATAAGGTATTTCTTTGTTGCGTTGTATGTCCCTCCCCCATGGTATAACCCCTGTTTTCACTGTATTTGATATTGGTGTAATTTGTGGAGGGGAAGGGAAAAAATAAATTTAAATAGGGATACAGGTAGGCCCACTGGAACCATGAGATGTACAAGATGTTGTGTTGAAAAATGAACTTTATAACTTTGGCGTGGGGGAGATGGTAAGGGATAGGAAGGGAAACAAAGGAGGAAGCAACAATGCTTGATAAGAAATGTACTCATTACCTTGCTCATGTTAATGTAACCCCTCTGTACAGTATTTTCACAATAAAAAATAAGTAAAAATAAAAATATAAAGTAATAAGAAAAATCAAAGAATGAAGAAACCATAACAATTGAAATTATATTTAAAGGAGACAGGTCTTGCAGTGAAATTGAAGTGTATTAGAAGGATGATTAGGCATGTAGAGAGCAGAGATTCTTTTCTGTATGTTGATTTTTATGTGTGGGTTATTTAGAAAGATGCACTCTGTAAGAATTTTACAGTAGTGTTTAGAGTTTAAAAAAAAGTAACACAACACCACCAACAAAATCCAGAAGTCCAAAATTGTAGTAGGTCCAGTATTTTCTCTATACTGGATGGAAAGCTCAGGTCTGGAAGAGATAATTTTGCCAAGGTTTTACACATTACTTTGAGCTTAACTTTTCTTTAGTTTTTCTTGAATTTAAAGCTTGATTGTAATGATAATGTCTGGTCTGTGAGACTGAAGAATGAATTTTTCTGTGGGCAAGGGATGGTATACTCAAACAGGGTGAAATTCCCCCTTCACAAATTAGCCTAGTATTAACACTTGTGATCTGAGGGTACTTATTTGTACTTTCTGTCCAACAGACTATGGTTACATCGCTACATACACCTACAAATTGAGCAAATTGCTTTCATCTAGATTTAGCTATCAATGCTCCAAGTGAAATATTTCTGTATACGGAAGAAGTAATATTTTCCTTTGGGTTACATAGTGTAAAATGTTTACATTACTTTTTGAATAGTATCAATTTTCCCCCAGCCTATCTGGATTACAGTCCTTCTATTTATAGATTTCAATTACATATGTAACAGAGATGAGAGTTATACAGTGTGCTGAATTTTCTTACTGATTGAAATAATGTTGTGTAAACTAGATTTTGCTCTAAACTAGATCTTTACTGCACTCGCCTTCAAATTACTATTGAAAAATGAGTATATCAAAGATTATATCAAGAAGAAAAAATTTTGAAACATTTTGACAGTGAGAAAAATAAGCAAGTACTATGGAGGTACAGTCAAGATGATCATAGGCGCATCAGAAAAGTCAGAGAGACTCACACAAACTAGCCATCATTCTTTCTCAAGAAAGTAGAAGAAAAAGAAGAAAAAATAGAATAAGGAAAAGAATAATAAATAGTACACCAGAAATAGATGTAACATCATCATAGATGTCTACAAAATTTCCAAAGATTAAAAAGTTCAATTTTTGAAAGATAAAATTGACAAATTGTTAGCAAGAAAAATCAAGAAAGGATGGGAATAAAAAGCAATTGAAAAAAGGAGGCATGATGAATGAATTGATGATAAACTAATAAGTGGCATGCATGCCCAGTTGTTTCAAAAGCCCTGAAGAGAAGGGGGGAGAGACTGGTCCTGAAAAGGCAGAATTGCAATGGTCATTAGAGATGATCATAGGCAAGTTTACGCTAGTCAAATGCTTTAACTTTGAGCAATTGAAAAAACAGCTGGCTGTACATTCTTAGGAAAATGGATTCATAATCTAAACTGAATACTACCAAAACAACAAGTTTGAATCAACAATAAAAAAGCCTCCAATTTACCAACAACCAAGACAAAATGATTTTTTGAGTTAGAGTATGCCTATTAAGCAAGAATTATTTATGATTTCCTTGTTAACTCCTACCAAGAAAATAAGAGAGGAGCTGGTGGCTCATGCTTACAATCCTAGCTACTCAGGAGGCTGAGATCTGAGGATTACTGTTCAAAGCCGGTCTGGACAGGAAAGTCCATGAGACTTTACTTCCAATTAATCACCAGAAAACCTGCAATAGGCACTGTGACTCAAGTGGTAGAATGCTTGCTTTGAGCTGAAAGGGCTCAGGGACAGCGCACAGTCCTGGAGTTCAAGCCCCACTACTGGCAAAAATGATTGAATGAATGAATGAATATATAAAAATAAAAATAAAAGAGGAGAAAGAAATTGCTGACACCCTAGCCACCATTATGTGACACATATACTATACAAGGACACAATATGGAAGGAAAACTACTGACCAATATTCTTGTCTATCATAGGTACAAAAATGCTTAAACATTCTAGCAAACACAATTCAATGGTGTATGAAAAGGTTATTTCCTATAATAAAATAATGTTCAACCTAGAGATATCAAGATGCAATATGGGAATGTGGTACAACTTTTCAACAGACTCAAGAGGCAGAAACAATTCTCAACTGAATCATCACATCAATCTAATAAAAAGTTAATAGCTAATGTGCAAGAGAAAGTAGAAAAGTTGAAATCTTCTCCCCAATCTCAGTGGCCAAGATTAAATTTTGACATTCCATTAAAAACCCTCTGACTACTAGTGAAGAGAGCTTCTAATAAAAGTCAGAATTATTCTGGTAGGAAGATATATTTTTAAAATTCCCATTTAAGGGAAAATATTTTGATTGATTTCTGTTTTATAAGGAGATTTTTCTGATGCAGTTTAAAAATAAGGCTTTCTCTCAAAGAAACATAGGTCTCATGGTTTCCCTTATTTGCAATATCTAGTATACGTATGAGTCAAGCGGAAAAGGTCAGATAATGTGATTTTAGGAAAATTAACCCTTAGATATGTATTTTAATGTTTTTTTCTTCCATGCATGTGCTTCTAACACATTTATAAGATTTTTTTCTTTGTTGCTTTGTATGTCTCTCCCCCACAGTATAACCCCTGCTTTCACTATATTTGATGTCAGTATAACTTGTGGAGGAGATGGGGAAAAACAAGTCGTTTAAGGATACAGGTGGACCTGTTGCAACAATGAAAAGTACAAGTTGTCATGTCGAAAATGAGCTTTACAACGTTGGTGGGGGGGAGGATTGAATGGGGGGAGGCGGGAGGCTGGGAAGGGATGTGAAGGGTAAACAAAGGAGGAGGCTACAATGCTTGATAAGAAATGTACGCATTTTGCCGGGCGCTGGTGGCTCACGCCTATAATCCTAGCTACTTAGGAGGCTGAGATCTGAGGATCGCGGTTCAAAGCCAGCCTGGGCAAGAGAGACTGTGAGACTCTTATCTCCAATAAACCACCAGAAAACTGGAAGTGGCACTGTAGCTCAAGTGGTAGAGCGCTCGCCTTGAGCTGAAGAGCTGAGGGACAGCGCCCAGGCCCAGAGTTCAAGTCCCACGACCGACAAAAAAAAAAAAAAAAAGTATGCATTATCCTGCCCATGTAATTGTAACCCCTCTGTACAGTATGTCCACAATAAAATAAAATAAAATAAAATGAAAAAAAACAAAAAAACAAAAATAAGGCTTTCTAGATAGAGAAAATGAATCTTGTCATGAAATAGATAGATAGATAGATAGATGAAAATAAAACAATAACGGGAAGTAAAGAAAATCACTAGGAATGTTTAAAAGTTTCATTTTGATACTAGATAACAAACCATGTACAATTTACAAGAACATAGAACTATCATTTTAATTAGTACATTAAATTGTATACACACAATATATCATAGACAAAGTTAGATGCTGTTCTGCAGTTAAGTTTTGGATGATCCAAATATATCCACAAAATTGATTTCCAAGACTCAAGATGATGGCTCTTTCCTACAATTCTAGCTACATAGGAGGCTGAGATCTGCATATCTTGGTTTGAAGCCAACTCAAGCAAGAAATTTCATGAGAATTTTATGTCCAGTTAACTAACAAAATAACAATAATAACAACAACAACTGCTGGAAATAGAGTTGGGACTCAATGCGATAGAAGACTAGATTTGAGCACAAAAATTTCAAGGACAGCATCCAGCCCTGAGTTCAAGCTCCATGAGTGGTGTGTGTACATACACACCTATACAAATTGATTTCCATATATAAAAGTAAAAAAGGAGAGAGTGAGAGAGAGGGGGGGGGGGAGAGAGAGAGAAAGGCTAACCTAAAATCTCCATGGAGGAATAGGAACATTTGAGCATAGTTAGATAAGTGAGGTAATGCATTAGATAACTCATTTCTCCAAATTATTGTGCTGCAATGTACAATGAGCCTGTGGATCCTAAACCAGGTTTTATTTAACACACTCCATAAAACTGTATGAAGTCTAAAATAGTCTCTGTTTACTAAATAAAGAAACATATTTACAAAAACACAAGGTTTAGAATGCCAGGAAGAACGTTTCAGTCCTCTTTCACACATAGGATTATTTCTTAGTCTTTTAATGTGGGCAACTCTCCAACCTGTTCTTATGGTCTATAGACACTCCATACTACTTATTGCAAATATTTAAGTTATTAGGTGTATATACAGCTTAATACTTCTCTTCAAGGAAATCAGGCCTTAATCATTCTTAGATTAAAGTATGTAGTAGTTAAAGCTTTGATTAGTACTAAGAATATTCTAGTTAATCCATGTTGTTCCTATTTTGGCCTGCTTCCATACAGCAGGGACACAGGGCAGAGTATATTCCATACAGAAATGAAGGGCTCATAGTGCATGTAACATTCAAGAGAAGACATTGCCTATTTTTTTCCATGTCTTTTGTAGAGCACATTTTACATCTTTGTTCCTCAGGCTGTAGATCAAAGGATTCAACATTGGAATAATCAAGGTATAAAATATAGAGGACAATTTATCAGTATCAATGGAATGACTGGATTTTGGCTGGACATACATAAATATCAATGTTCCATAAAACACTGTAACGACTGTCAGGTGGGACCCACAGGTGGAGAAGGCCTTGCGCCTGCCTTCTGCCGAGTTCATCCTGAGAATGGCTACCAGGATCAGCAAGTAGGACATAAGGACAAACAGAAGTGAAGAAATCAAATCAACAGCTGCAAACATCATAATGATCAATTCAACTTCGTGCGTGTCAGAGCAGATCAAAGATAATAAAGGGATGCAGTCACAGAAGAAGTGATCAATGACATTGTAGCCACAGAAGGATAACGTGAAAATCTTTATGGTGACTAGAAGAGACATAAAGGTACAGTAGAGATAGGGGATGGCCACCAGGACCCAGCACACCCTCTGTGACATGACCACGGTGTAGAGCAGCGGGTTGCAGATGGCCACGTAGCGGTCATAGGACATGGCCGACAGGATAAAAAGTTCACTACCAATTAGCAGAAGAAAGAAACCGAGCTGGGTGGCACAGAAATGATAGGAGATTGTGTTTTGATCTACAACAAAATTGACCAACATTTTAGGTCCCACAGCTGTGGAATATCCAAGATCAGTGAGAGCCAGGTGTCTGAGGAGAAAGTACATCGGGGTCTGTAGTTTGGAGTCCACCATGGTGAGGATGATCATGCCCAGGTTGCCCATCACAGAGACCACATAGATGAGGAGGAACAGTGCGAACAGCGGAGCCTGCAGCTCAGGACGATCGGTGATGCCCATCAGGATGAATTCTCTCACCATAGTGAGATTGTGTGTTTCCATCCAGGTGTCTGAGAAAACCTATTCTGAAAATAGACATCAGCTTATTCACCAGCTTTCTAATACTATCACCTGGAACTTTTACTGATATAACGTTATTGTAAATGAAATAAATTGAAACTTCTCACTGTAGAATCTTCGAATATAATTGCACATTTGTAGGTATAATTACAAGCAGGGACAGAATAGGAAATGCGGTTTTTATTTAAGGTGACTTTAAGCATATAAAAACATCATTCCTAGCTGGGCGCCGATGGTTCACGCCTGTAATCGTGGTTCAAAGCCAGCCCAACCAGGAAAGGTCCTGAGACTCTTATCTCCAATAAACCACTTAGAACACCAGAAGTGGTGCTGTGGCTCAAGTGGTAGAGTGCTAGCCTTGAGCTGCAGAGGTGAGGGATAGTGCCCAGACCCAGAGTTCAAGCCTCCTGACCAACCAAAAAAAAATCATTCCCTAGCTACAGATCATATTCTGTGCTTTATTTTTTAGTTGAACTGCTACTAATATCAAAAAGCAGTGATACCATTACAAAGTTAAATATCTTGCCATGCCCAAAAAGTGTCTGCATCAATAACTTTGTGAAAGGCTTATCAATTCTGTTAGGAAGATATAGGTAGATCAATAGATAGATTATTGACAGATAGATGATTGATGGATAAACAGAAAGATAGATAGAAGATAAGAAGACATAGATGATTGATGAATGATAGAAAGATGATAGATAAATGATGGATGATAGATATAACAGATACACAGGTACAGATGTCTACATGAGAAAAAATGTTTAAACATTTAAAAAATACTGGTGTTAAATAGGTATCCGTTATCCATGGAAATAGCTATACACATAGGTGGTTTGGGGATGGAGGATAGTGGAGATTGAGTCCAGAGCTATGTTTCAACTCATTGCAATATTAATTATGTAAGTGATTTCATAATATTATTAAATATTATCACATAATAATAAAAAGTCCAATCACATAAGATTTTCTATTAAGTTTATAAAAACACATCTGAAAACCTTATTGAAATCGTAGCTCTGCAAATTCTTATAATGACAGGCAGTATAGTTGAAAGTGTTAACATATGCACATATGATGCACAAATATTAGTTTTGGCAAATAAATTATCTGAAACTCCATTTTCAGGTACCAAACAAAAACATCCTTACAGAACTGTTTGGAAAGGTGAGGAATGTTTCTATCATTTCATGTTTTCAGTGTATCTAAATACAAGGTAGAAGAAAATACACTTCAGTGGTTTAGAGATAGAGCATTGAATCCAAGGATTGCATCCAGGTCAGTGTGTAAAAGCTTGGTAGGCACTCCATTGCTGAGTTATATCACATGCCTTTGTATTTGGGGAAAAAGTCTGAATAGGTGGCTGGGCTGGCTTTGAGCTTGCTCTGTAGCCAGTGTATTCTGGAAAAGCACAGATCCTCTATTCTCTTCTCACCTTAATATCCTTGCTTTTGACATGGTAACTGTAACCTACCTTGAAGAGCTTTCTTTACAAAGGTGTATGCACATTCTCTTGCATAGAGATCTCACTTCTTGGGCAGAGCCAAAATGCTAAACAGATAAAAGAATGTGTGATCAATCCATCATCTAAAACAAGAAAAGTGATGGAAAGGGTAGGCTAAGAGGGGTGGGTGAGAATGTTAAAGGGGTGATAGTGATCAAGACACATTGTATTCATAAACTGTTTTGTTGAATAGCAACTCCTTTGTATAACTAAACTATGATAAAAATATTGTTTATATTGTCTATCTCCTTCTTCATCCCCAATTTTACAATGAAAAATTTAAAGATAATCAGTTGCCTATTATTTTATACTACTTATCATCTAGTCATATAGTTTTATTCACATTTTAATGTAAGCCATATTACATTAATCTACCATGAAATATTACTTTGTCTCTAGGCGGAATATTCATTGTAACATCTAGTATGATGTTATGTATCGAGTGCAATTTATTTTGACTGAGAAACTAGGAGACTAACAAAAGTGGAACAATTTAAAAGAAAGAGAAGCGATGGTCATTGGTTTGATTGATGACTCATTAAATATTCTTCTATTAAAGGGGCACTATGTTTTTGAGAGAGTAAAGTTTGAAAAGTCATGGTGAATTTTATTATGGTAAATGCTATAAAAAACATTACATTATTTACAAAGAAATTTCAATAGAGAATCCATGGATACTTGGACATATTTTAGAGTTCTCTGCTGAATTTACCACAAGGACTTTTTTCACGTGTCCTATGGCACAGCAGATGGGCACAAATATAGCCAAGTAGAACAAAATAAAAGCTAAATATGTATAGTAACGCAGACATTAATGAGCATTATACAGACATTATACAGAAGCGAGTGAATATCAGCTTAAGGTTAGATACCATTACTGATGTGAAAAACTGTGATAATCAATTCTTTGAAAAGAAAAATGCATCTATCTATCTATCTATCTATTATCTATCTATCTATCTATCTATACATGACACTGAAAATTATCATGACCTACACATAAATATCATTATTATATATGTTCACTATTATAATATCATATGCAAAGATGAATACATGTAAATTACATTGAACTCATTTAAAATATTTTTGTAACATTGTTATAATCTGATATTCTTCCCTGGCAATTCAAATATCTTCTCTATATTAAACATACCAAAGCATATCAGCTTAGTAATATATACATACATACATATATATACATATATCCTATATAGACATATATACTATATTTAATGCATATGTACACAAATATATATACACATATACATATATATGTACATATAAGCAAATATATTTATATATATATATATATCTTGAATAAATATAATCAGGAACACTGTAAATTGCTTTTTTCTTTCTTTTTTCCATGATCATGAACTATTACTAATAAATATGCAGGTAAACAATGATCAATAGATGAAAGTGTTTCCTATCAATAATTTGTAGTTCGAACTAATCTTTACCAAATACTTGTTTTTTTAAAGGTACACTCTAGAAGAAATTAGATTCCACTGTACAATGATCATTTTGCCATCATCATAACATTAACATTGAAAAGAACAGAGCTTTCGGTCAAGTGGAAGCTCTCTTTACCCCTTTTCCTTATCAAGAGATGAGAAGGAATTGCAATTGTACATATATTTACAGTATAAATGAATAAATGAGAAAATCACAATAAGGCATGGACTTTCTATATACCTAAATGTTTAGAAGCATGTGAAAATAAGTGTGAACCATGTACATTTCACTTATTTCTCTCAAGATAGGAAGATACTTTATTTATGCTTCATATCTGATCATGTTTACCATTTGTTAGATATAAAAGATTAAAAAATTTAATATTCTCAACCCATAAACGACAAAAATAATAAGTATTCTCCAAGTACAAAAATCTTTGTTACCTATAATGAAACATCTCTTTGATTCTCCAATGTGATTCTTAAGTATCTGATATTTCGGGACAATTTATGTTATTTTTTTAACATTAGAGATTCCCAGAGGACATGGAAGGAATATGGTGATTAACTCAGTGGCAATGGAATGTGTAATGAAGTGTTTGGAGGTTGTACACTAATTCTCAAGAACAATTTATATTAATTTTTAATTTATTAATTTAGTATAGGAACTATTTTAAAATAAAATATGTGGTTTTGATTTTAAATTATGGATATTAAGATTTCTAAGTCATCCATGCAGAATTATAAATAGCTGAGATGTGGAAATTAATTGCTCACCAATGACAACACCCTGAGTTCAAATTCCACTACCTCCACAGGAAATATATGAAGGAGCAGATTCAAATAACTGGAATCAGAAAGTAAATAGAAAAGCCATAGCAGCAAGTTTATACATCCATTTGTACAGTGAATGGATAAACAGAATGAGCTAATGTTTTCAAAATGATATCCTAGTATATGGAATTGCATGTGATTGACAAGCATTGGAAAATGTTGGGCTAGTTTAAATAGACCAGTCCTATAAGGACACATACTATTACCATGATACAACTGTCCTAGAATCAAACAGATATTGGAGTTGTTTATATAAAAATTGGGGTTTGAGAATGAGAAATTACTAACAAAAATAAATGCAAAATGTATACACAAATAAATGAGTTTCATCATTCTGTTGCAAGATATTGTACTTATACTTAATGGTGCCATTTTGGATGTTTGAAATATGAGGAGAGGATATTTCACGTTAAACATAATAATCATGCCCTTCACAAATTTTTGTGTCTGTATGTGTGCATATGGTATTAGAATTTGAACTCAGGGCCTTGTGCATACTCAGCTTGCTTGCTCAATTGCCTCTTGAACTGTGGCTCCAGCCCACTCTTTTGCTGGTTATTTGGAGATGTAGTCTTCTGCCTAGGCTCTCTTTGAACAATGATCCTCCAGATCTCATCTACTTAAGTAGCTAGGATTAAAGATGTGGGCAACTGCTTTTAATCAGCCAAATGAAAATTTTATTCTCACTCTATTGGCTGCACAGTACATTTTAATTTGTAATGATGCAAAGGGATATGTAAGTTTTTTGCAACATACATAGAATTTCACAAATGCTAAAAAATAAAAGCAAATAAGCATTGAGTAACTTAAAGAATTAGGAATGTATCAAGAAGACATAATTGTTAAAAAAAAACATGCATGTCATACTACATGACCTAGAAATATTTCATAGTTCAAATCATTACCTACTACCTCTATTTCCTACAAGTTGGATTATGCAGTTGATGCAAATAACATATCCTAATCAAAACAACTGTGTTGTCATAAGGAACAAATGTGAGGAAATTCAGTCAGAAGGAAGAAGAGAAACCAAAGAGAAACAAAAGATACCATGTCTTTTTTAAAATAAGGTTTTTATTGTAAAAATACTGCAGAGAGGGGTTACACTTACATGAGCAAGGTAAATAGTACATTTCTTCTCAAGCATTGTTGCCTCCTACTTTGTTTTTCCTTACCATCCCTTCCCTCCCACCTTCTCAACTACACTCCACTCTCACCCTGTCTAAATTGTAGTTTGTTTTTCAACATAGTGTCTTGTAGATCTCGTTGTTACAATGGGTCAACCTGTATCCCTATTTAAACATTTGGTTTTTTCCCTTACCCTCCCCAAATTAGACCGACATCAAATACAGTGAAAATAGGGTTTATACTGTGGGGGAGGAACATACAAAGCAACAAAAAATCACATGGCATATTATAAATACATCAGAAACAATAACAAGAAAGAAAAAACCACTCGTGTTTCTATCTTGGAGTTCATTTTGCTCAACATAGTCTTATCTGGTCATATATACATAGCTTTTGCCCTTTTCTGTTTGTCCCAAACCTATACTAGTTATTGCAAATAAGGGAAACCATGGGACCTATGTTTCTTTGGGCCTGGCTTACTTCACTTAATATAATTTTTTCCAAGTCCTTCTATTTCCTCACAAATGGGGCAATGTAATTCTTTGTGATGGAAGCATAGAATTCCATTGTGTGTATACATATGTGTGTATACATATGGCTAGTGAAGATCTTCTCCCAGACTGGGCTTTCTATTGATCTTGCTAGCTATGTCCTTTGCCTTGCAGAAACTCTGCAATTTCATGCAATCCCATTTGCCAATCTTTCTTTGATTGGTTGTATTTCTGGGTCTCTATTAGGAAAATTTCAGCCTGTGCCAAGGAAACCTAGGGTTTCTCCTGTTCCATCCCATAATGTTTTCATAGTGTCTGCTTTGACTCTGAGGTCTTTGATACATTTGGGTTTGACTCTGGTGCAGGGTGATATATAAGGATCTAGCTTTAGTTTTCTACAGGTGATTAACCAATTTTCCCAGCACCATTTACTGAAGAGGCTGTCTTTCTTTCATTCTATTTTTTAATTCTCTTATCGAAGATTAGGTGATTATAGATCTGTGGGTTCATTTCTGGGGTTTCAGTTCTATTCCATTGGTCCCATAATTCATCACATCAACAAGAGCAAGGTTAAGAGCCACATGGTTTTCTCAATAGATACAGAGAAAGCATTTGACAAGATCCAACACCCCTTTATGATGAAGGCTCTGGAAAAACTAGGAATCCCTGGAACTTTTTTCAATACAATAAAGGTTGTATATGACAAACCTACACCCAGCATTATACTTATGGCAAAATACTAAAGCCATCTCTTCTAAACTCAGGAAGGAGACAAGGATGTTCATTCTCTCCACTTCTCTTCAATTTAGTATTAGAATGCATAGCTACAGAAATAAGACAAGATGCAAACATAAAAGGAATCCAAATAGGGAAAGATGAAGTAAAACTCTCCCTCTTTGCCAATGACATGATCTTGTATTTAAAGACTCCACTCCCAAATTACTCGAGATGATTTGAAACTTTGGCAAAGTAGCAGGGTATAAAATTAATCCTCAAAAATTAATGGCTTTTCTGTATGCCAACAATGAGAAGAGCACAGCTGAAATCAGGAAAGCAACTCCTTTTGTAATACCTAGGAATTAACTAAAGAAGTGAAGGACCCCTATGATGAAAACTTTAAAAACCTGAAAAAGGAAATCAAAGCAGAACTTAGGAGTGAAAAAACCTCCCATGCTCCTGGACTGGAAAGATCAACATTGGGAAAATGGCAATACTTCCCAAAGCTATCTACAAATTCACTGTGATACCTACCAATATTCCAACCTCATTCCTCAATGAAATAGAGGAAGCAATTCAAAAATTCATATGGTACAATGAAAGACCCTTTATTGCAAAAATGATCCTTAACAGAAAGAACAGTGTTGGAGGAATATCAATACCAAATTTCAAAGTCTACTACAAAGCCATAGTAATCAAAACAGCTTGGTACTGGCACAAGAGACTGTGACTTTTTTTATTTTGAAAATATCATACAGAGGGGTTACAAATACATGGATAAGATAATGAGTACAATTCTTATCAAGCATTGTTGCCTACTCCTTTGTTTCCCCTTCCCATCCCTTGGCATCTCCTCCTCCTACCCCCCTATATGTCTGAGACTGTGACTAATTGAACAATAATTTATTTTATTTTTGTTGGTGTCGATTTATCACACAAAAGATGAAATTAACTATGACATTTTCACACTCCTCATTACTTTATTGCCTTAACACTCAATATCTGCTTGTCCATTTTCTCCTCCAAAATTGTCCTCATTGCACCATCTTGTCTACATTCTACCATATTAAAAAAAATGTAAGACTGTGACTTCTACATAAGAATTATTCATCCAATAGAAAAGTAAAGATGTGTTTCCAGCTACTAGGCAAGACAAGCAGTAAGAAATAGAAGACAACAAGCCCTAGGTAAAGATAGCAAATTCATGGAAGCTTTCATTTCAGGTGTCAATAAATTTACCTTAATTTCTATGTTCATACACACATGCATTTATTTAGAAAAGGTAAGATGTTACACTAAAGCTATTGCTTGGTAAATGACAAACTAGATTACCACACTACCTTGAACTCATATAAAAATCAGGCTACAGGTGAGAAACAAAGACGACCACAAGAGAAACTGGGACATCTGAGCAGATTTTCAGTGACTGACTTTCTCAAATCACTGTGATACATTTATTAGAATACTATCTCTATCAATAAGATTTTATTGCAAATACTAGAAAAATGGGAAGTCTAAAATAGGAGGATCATTACTCAAAAGAGTAATACCTACACAAACATATGCATGGACATTGGAGTATTCATTGTAATAGGCAATACCACCAACGCCAGCATCTAACTCCTGTTTTATATCTATTTCCTTTCTCATTCTCAATGTTGCAAGATCTTATTACTAATGCACACCAAACCTTTATTACATACTAGAGAAAAATCTTTATTTTTCTACAGTTCATTTCTGCTCCCAAGGAAATACTGAGAGCATTTCTTCTTAGGACTACTAGCATAAAGGCTAATCTTGGATACATATGTTTTGAAGAATAACACAAATCATGAGAGGTAATTCTGGTTTGATTGGACTCCTACTTTATGTAAGCTTTAAGAAAAACTTTGCGTAATCTTTTCCATGTTCTTTGGAGAGCATATTTTACATCTTTGTTCCTCAAGCTATAGATCAATGGATTCAACATGGGGATGACCATGGTGTAAAAGACAGAAGCCAATTTATCAGTGTCAAAGGAATGACTGGACTTGGGCTGCACATACATAAATATCAATGTCCCGTAAAAAACGATGACAACTGTCAGATGGGATCCACAGGTAGAGAAAGCCTTGAGCCTTCCTTCAGCAGATTTCATTCTGAGAATGGCTCTGAGGATAAGCAAATAGGACACAAGAACTATCGAAAGAGATGAAAGTAAGTTAAGAGCTGCTAAGATTAAAATGATCACTTCAATCTCATGGGTATTTGAGCAGATTAATGGTAGCAAGGGCATACTGTCACAGAAGAAATGATTGATGACATTGTAGCCACAGAAGGACAAGGTAAATATTTTTGTGGTGACAAGCAAAGACACAAATGTACTATAGAGGTAAGGAATCGCCACAAGCACTTGACATATCCTTTGTGACATGATAACCGTGTAAAGCAATGGGCTACATATGGCTACATAGCGATCATAAGACATGGCAGAAAGAAGAAAGAGTTCACAAGCAATGAACACCAGAAAGAATGCCAGCTGTGTGGCACATAAATTATAGGATATGATGTTTTGATCTACAAGGAAATTTGCCAACATTTTTGGTCCCACAACTGTAGAATAACCGAGATCTGTAATAGCCAGGTGTCTGAGAAAAAAGTACATTGGGGTCTGTAGCTTGGAGTCCACTTTGGTAAGAATAATCATGCCTAAGTTGCCCACTGTTGAGCTTAGGTAGATGATGAGGAAGAGCACAAACAATGGAACCTGCAGCTCATGGTGATCAGTCACGCCCATCAGGATGAATTCACTCACCGCTGTGAGATTGTCTCTCTCCATGCAGGATTATTAGAAACCTACTTGGAGTAAACGCAATAGCAAAGCAAATAGATTTAAACATTTTTTCACACAGAAGATTAACTATATAAGGCTAGAGCAAGTGAAATATTACCAAACCTTAACATTCAAGAATCTCAGAATGTCCAAAATTAAACATGAAGAACATTTTTCACTACATATAGTCTGGCATCACAGTTGAAGGGTGAATTGTTACTGATATCTAATGGTTAGAGACCTTTCTGTTACTAGACATGCACTGAGTAGAATATATACTGTAGAGGATATTGAGATCAAGAATCATGCTCAAGGTGTGGGAACATTGATAGATATACGAGAAGCCCTTGGGTGGCTCCTATAATTTTAGCTACTCAGGTGGCTGAGATCTCAGGATTGTGTTTTAAGGCCGAGTTGGAAAGGAAAGACTGTGTAACTTGTATCTCCCAACTGTGTGACATGCTTCTTGTTTTGTTGTGTTTACTTTGTATTCTGCTCTGTGCTTTGAATACATGTTCTTAAGCTAAAAACATGAGAAAACATATAAGATTACCAAGATTAGAGAAGGGTCTTCAATAAATTCAATAAGAAATTATGTTTATTTTGCTTCCTGTGGCTTCTTTGATTTAATTTATAATTGTGAATCTTTAGATGATTAAAGTATACTTGGTAATTACCTACCAACTTTTTTTTGCGTGGAAAGGAGAGAGATTTTTTTTTTTATCCAACCATTTTTGGAATCCAGAGGCATGAAACAATCACAGTTTTTTTAATCCATTGTGCTAATGGACTATTTGAATTTTAGTCTTATGACAATCCTCTGAGATATGTTTACTCAGCACCTATGCAAAATAAAGAACATTTTATTATTATTATATAGCTGAAATTTGAAGTTCTCCTAATATTAAAATACTGTTTTTATACCATAATATATAGAGGAAATTCTTCCTTTTTTGCTCAAGACAACAAATTGTATTTTGCATACATATTAAATACATACATATTTTAAATATATACATAAACTCAACAGTTTCAGGTTCTGTCATAAAAACACATATTTACCCTTCTGATTCATCTTTTCTTACCGTGGCTTTTTTTTGTTGTTGTTGGTTGTGGGGCTTGAACTCAGGGCCTGGGAGCTTCAGCTCAAGGTGAACACTCTACCACTTGAGCTACAGAGCCACTTCCAGCTTCCTGGTGCTTAATTCGAGATAAGAATCTCAGGGAATTTCCTTTCCAGGTTGGCTTTGAACCACAATCCTCAGATCTCAGCTTCCTGGGTAGCTAGGTTTACAGACATGAGCTATGGCACCCTGCCTACTTTTGTATTTTGTTGGACATTACATTCATGTGCATCCTTATATGTATGTATGTAAACACACACATAAATACATATTTTTGGACGAGGACTATCTCTCACTTCAGGCTGCTGAACTTGATATAGATCATTCTGACTCATCTCCCTAGGACAAGAATTACATATGCATGTTTCAAAACTTATGACTGAATATTTTCTAAATATGCAATCACAATACAGGCTTCCAAGATACTTACTTTAAAATATTCAAAGATAAATATGATTTTTTAAAAAGAAGAGTGGTCCTATTGCATCCAGGAATAATCAGGTAATAGAAATCACAGAAAATGAATCCTAAATTATTACTTACAGTAGATGGGCAAGCTCGAACCAAAGTGACTGTTGAATAAGATACTATTAACCTAAGACACCCAATGAAACTTTATTACCTGCAATGATATAGCTCTACATCAATTCTCTCATGTATTTTTGACATAGTTTGTTGAGGGAAATTTATGGGTTTTTTTTCTTCCCAGAAAACTCCCTAATGAGATGCCAAGCAATTTATTGTTATTCTAAAAAAAAAATTAATGTTTAATGAAATGCCTGGAGAATGACCACTAATTGTCAGAGATAATTTGTAGTCAATTGTGACTTCATTAATTGATTGTATGAGCACACAGTCCAAATTCTGTGGTCTATTATTCAAAGGATTTCAGAGATACTAGAATGCATGATCATCTTTAGTATAATTTGAAATGATCAAGATTTAATAATAGCTATACATTCATGAATAAATGGATAAATAAAACATGGTAGGCACAATTGATCACCTTAAAGCAATATCTTAGAATATTCCATGAAATGAATTAACCTGGGGGTCATCACAATAAATAAAATAAACCAATCACATAAAACAAAAATAAAAGGGCAGGAACCTACCTTCCAGAGGTATCAGAAACACTCAAATGTATATAATCTGTAAATAGAATGCCAAAAGCTAGGAAGTAGCTGTAATAAGGAATTGCTAAAAATATTTATGGAATTGCAAGAACATGAAATAAATAATTTTGAGAGTTCTGCTGTCAAATATTTTGTCTCTAGTTAATAGTATTGTACTGGTATATTACATTATTAGGAGCATAGATCTCATTTTGATCACAATGAAATAACTAAAAAGCAAAATGAATGTAGTATCAATACATGCAACAGGTATGCATCCTGATGAAAGCATCTTCAATTAAATTCTCTAACACAACAGTATATTAAATGAAGTACTTGTTATAAACAAAGGACATGTCCCAGGAATGCAAGGATAGTTTAATAAAAACAAATCAATAAATATACCATATCAAGAAAATAAGGGAAAAATAATCTCAGTAGATCTATGAAGTATATTACAAAAGACTTAATATAATTTCATGACAACAGTACAGCAAATGAAGTTTAGAAGGATGTTCTTTTACACAATCAATGGTTTTATAATAAGCCATCAATTAACCTTGTGCTTAGAGACAAACACTGACAGTTCCTTAACTAAGATCTGGTACAGGAAACTGATGCTGCCTTCTGCCTATATTTTTCAACATGTTTCTGGAAATTCTAACTAAAACAATCAGTTAATACAAAGAAATGCAGGGAAGTCATCTCTGATCTTGCTTGCCTGAAAAATCACTCTATTCTAAAGGAGAGGTTTGCTGGTGCAGTAATTTTCATTGGTAAGGTTTTTGTGTTGTTTTAAATAAAACTATAAAAAAAGTTATTAATACTCTTGATTAGTGAGGTGTCTGCTGAGAAGTGTGCTGTGAAACTGAGAAAATGTTTTATATATATATATATATATATATATATATATATATTCTTTAAATAGCTGCTCAAGGGGACTTAAATTTACTGTCCACTTTGGTGTACAATGCACGAATCTTGATCTATGGCTCCTTTTCCATCATTTTCCCTCCTCTTCCCAACTTCATCCATCCACTCAAGTTAATCTGATTCCATTCAGAAGGGTAAGAGACCACAGTGATAACGTTGAGTGTACATATGTCAAATTGGGAGATTCTAGGTTATATTCCTTGTTTTGAGTGACTTCTATTAAATGTATTGACTATTTTCATGATGGAGCCGCGTTAGCATCATGCCTTTTGAAATCAGCAATGCATGCTGCATTCTGAACCCACCCTGGGGCAGAGACCAAAGACTGTGTTATATGTGCTACTTATTGCTGAGGTTCACTGATGACCCAATCAATTCAAAGTCTTTTCAGAAACAAAGCACAGTTAAATTAATGAGATTACATATGGTTATTTTCTCCAAGTTAGAGGATCAGTTCTATGCAGAGTGGATATGAAACAAAAGCTATAAACTGCAATATGGAATAAACACACACATATATGTGTGTGTTTGTGTGTATACACATATATATAGGTATATATATGCATATACATACATATGTGTAAATATATATATATATATATGAAATCATCTATGAGGAGGAATAGGAACAAACCTATTACATCATAGAATAGATATTTTTGGAAGAAAAAATAACTACAAATTTTATCAAGAATTATGTGTTTACACATTTAGGACACAGCAATCCATTCATCAAAAACAGTAAGGGCATAAAACACTAAAAAGGGTATCTAAATCAAACAAAACAAACCAAACAAACAAGCAAAACACATAAAATGCAAAACCTTAGGAGCTTCTGTAGCAAATGCCAATTGATACACTATTCTCATTCATCTAATCATTGAATTGAGAAAAATTTAGTGATGCACTGAAACATCTCAATGCTGATTAGCAACATGAGTTAGTAGATGCTCTTGGCCTCATAAATAAAAAGGTGTATAAGAAGGTGTATAAGATCCCAAGATTGAACAGAAGCACTCCAACACTTTTCTGTGATTGATTTCTTTTTCTCATCATGCTGCATTGGACTACTTATTGGACTACTTGATTCCACAGTGACGTTTGACTTTTTTTTGCTGGTCCTGGGGCTTGAACTCAAGGCCTAGGCACTGTCCTTGAGCCTCTCTTTGCTCAAGGCAAGTGCTCTATAACTTGAACTACAGCACCACTTCCAGATTTTTCTGTTTATTTGGTACTGAGGAATTGAACCTGGGCTTTCATACATGCTAGGTAAGCACTCTACCACTAAGACACATTCCCAGCCCATGATTTTTTTTAACAGCTTGTAGAAATGCTTGGATCCTCAGACATGCATTCATTATACCTGGGGACTGGAAATATTTTTACAATATCTGAAAATATTACAATAATATTTACTCCTTTTTATATCAACTATTCTTTAGAGCCGCACAGCATACCATTTTCCTGTATCTACTGACCTTTACATCTAGACCCTTTCTTTTTTCATAAATAACTCACTCAAATATTGTATTAATGTCATTTCTTCCTAATGAAGGCAAAATACTTTTCTGCTTAGTTTGCATAGGTATTTATGGCATTTTGATATTCAACCAGACAATGAAAGAGAATCTTTAAATACACGTTGAGTTTATTTGTGTGTGCTACTCTACATTCTCATAAACCAACCTAAGTTGTTGGACTTATATTAGGTGTATCCTTTTTAAATTTAATTTTATTGTCAAGGTGATGTACAGAGGGGTTACAGTAACATACATAAGGGAGTGAGTACATTTTTTGCCCAATATTGTTACCCATCCCTCATTTTTCTCCCACT